ATGATTGTCTTTCTATTCATCCAAAAATTGTAATATATTACTTCTTTTATTAATCCTCTTCTGTTCAATATCGTATGCTTGAATCGCGCTAACCAATCAATGTGCTGTTTTCTCGTGATAACTAGAATTTTATTATGAAATGAAAGGAATGGCCGTTTTAAATCACAGAATAAGAACCGAAGTAATGAACCGAAAAGAACCGTAAACCGAAAAAAATGTAACGGTCCCGGTTGCGGTTCTGTAGGATTTATAAGATTTCGGTACGGTTTACGGTTCCGGTTCCGGCCCGTGGTTCGGGTTCGGGTCCCTGGTTAAAAGTATTAATTACTATTTGCTGGGCAGCAAAATAATTTGGTTATGTCAACGAAATTTTATTGCTGTCGCAACGACGCACTATAACAGCAAAATTATTATTTCCGTAAACACAAATTTTTCTGCTGTCACCATATTAACAAACGATTTGCCGTTTCAGCAAAACTTGTTTCCTCCGTGCGAGCCGCGGTGTCACAAAGTTCACCGCGATCATTTCCGCGCGCCCTGATTATTCTTCACGACTTGAGCTGAGCGCGAGGAGTATTTTGAGAGAGCTCGGAGGGACATTTCCGCGACTCTTTTGTCCGCACCTTCCCATGGATACGATCTCAGAACGCGATCTCTGTCTCTCTCTCTCTCTCTTTCTCCTTTGCACCTCGTATCGTGTACTCGCAGCAATTTCCTCTAATCGGATGTTTGCAGATACTGCAATTATTCTCTCCTGAAATGCAAACAGCTCTTCTCGAGCAAAGCGAATTAACCGTTTATCCTAATTGAGTTAAGATCCCGCTCTCTGTTGAGAGCAACGCTTTCATCAAGTATTAATATCACAGAAGCGCGACCGTGTCCGGACGAGTGCGAAAAATCACGCCGCTAATAAGTAACCGCCGGTAATACGCGCTTTCTAAAGCGCGAACGACGGCGAACGGAAAGATTATATCTTCGCGCGACGGTAATTAAAAGCGTTACCGCGCACTCGCGCGGATAGATGCGCGAGCGGGACAAATTATGATAATAAAATTGTCAACGCGTCTCAATCGTTCCGAGAACACCAATTATTTATTACGTGATATTCATGCGTCGTCGCACTCGCTGCGAAAACGAGAGAGAGAGAGAGAGAGAGAGAGAGCTGTGTAAACGGCACTCGAATAATTTATATATTGCGCCACAGGGGAAAACGCTAATGTGACGCGTACCCAGTCGCGATAATTAATCCAAAATGGCGATCGCTGGCAAAAACGCGTTTACGATGGATAATGAACCGCATCGGGCGCCGACGGTCAAGTATGCAAAGCGAATAACACGTTCGACGTACGCGACTGTCGTTCTCGCGGAAGGCAGGAAGGTGCCGCGATCGACCAATCGCGATCATCGCGGCAGGCATGGGTACAATGCAACGACAAGCACGTCGATTGGCCGTTCGAGCAATCGGCCGCGTCGAGGGCCGATCGAAAGTCGTTCCACGTGCGAACTTAGCGTCGCTTAATGAGCGTCCTCCAGGTACACTTGAAGGAGCGTAATAGTCGCGTCCTCGAACCGCGACACCTCCGGATCGCCGTCGGGTCTTCTGATCCTAACGATTAAGCGTTCTAACGTTGTTTAAACAAGCGCGGCGCCTCTGCGCGCTACGCGTTGCAAAGATGTCCCCGATCTAACTTTCGCGAGAGACTTCCTTCACCGATGTAGGACAAATTTTTCATTAACGCGTTAAGGATGTATCGCCTGTTAGCATTGTATTTTCAGCGGCCCGTCAACGGGATCACTCATGAATTTAGTATTTATCAAGCGAAACTACGTTCTTATATATTTATTTCACTATTTCTCTCTGTCAGTATAACCGATTTTTCAGGCGCGATTAATTACGCTTTATAGGTATCCTAATGAGACATGGTGGTGATCACAATACGCCGGTCGCGCCCTCGACCGTATTTAGCATATTAGTGGAAACGTCGCGGCGCGTTAGCAAACACACTTGCTTTACGAACGACATCGAGAATGGAGCTTGCGGGACAACCGTGCGGCGCAATTCTACTTCGATATTACTTTTGATTCGTTCGACGGATAAGTAAATTCGCGAATATACACGATCAGAGCGCGGATCCACGCGGTCATCTGCGAGAATTCCTTAAAATACGCGACGGGCGTGTGACGGACGTCGGGGGACTGAACCTTCTGGTTCGCCACGTTCCTCCTTCAGGAAGGAACGTGTCCTAACGACGCACCGACCGTGCAACCAAGCCCGAGCAAGAAGAAGAACGGTCTCGCGCCGAGTAAAATCGCGTACGCGCTCCGGGAAGCCACGACATTGTTTTAGAAAGAAAGTCCGCCTGGCAGTCACGGGCATTAGACGCCGCGAGGTGTGGAGGATCGGGATCGATGGATTCCTGGAAAGCGAGCGTAGGTGTAAAAATGCCCCGGTGAGCAATCGTCACGCTCGGTTTACCACATTCTGTCCGGCCGGACATCCCGCGGCGAACGGGGTGATGGCTTCCCCACACTCACACGTACACTTACACATATGCACACGGTGCGCTGGGATTTACCCCCCTCCCCCCCATCTCTCTCTCTCTCTGTGATTCCGTCAGGAGCGTGCGGCGCGAGGAACCGCGCCCGGGCTCCCCCTCGGCTCGGCGTTTCACCCGCAGCGTCGGCCGGCAACAACGTGTTAGTCGTGGGAGCGGCGAATTCCATGCGCAATTATCCTGATGCGCGACATTTATTATGGTCCTGTCGGACTCCCGACGGCGCGGATACAGTCCTGGAACAAAGCCCGGGCTCATCGTCCAGCCGCTGTCATCGCCGTCGATGTTACGAAGTCACGTTCCTAGAGTTCCACAAGGATCGGCTTTTTGCCAACATCCTCTACACGAGGAGTCAATGAAGCAATACCTCGTGACATCGGTTCGGATAATGCGCCACGGTGGTTTTATCGGCTGGAATGCAGCGCGAGCAATATCGAGCGCGCGCGCTTGTCCGGTATCAGGAATCGAGAGTGACGTAATTTCGGCAAGTTTTACCTTGGAGAGAGTAAATACGGGAAAGTGTACACATTTAATGTAAGACTTTTGGCAAAGATGAGGATCCGCTATTTATCACAGATACTGCTGAATATATCTATTTCATAACTAATACTACTGTAATTTGAAGAAAAGTCACGTCGAAATATAAAATTCACTTACTGAAACAGACTAAAATTCGAAAGAATTGTCTCATCTTTTATAATTATGTATTTCAATAGTGGATGTATGAAAAAAACAGATAAAAGTACTAGATTCGTGTAAATTAATAATCAACAATTATAATACTTCGATAGTACTTAGCAAATTTTTACTTGGGTAAAGTTTCAATATTTGCTTGGTCCGAGTAAAACTTAATTATAATCCAAGTAAAGATTCGCTAAGGAGTATCGCAGTCATTATTTACCCGAATCTAGTCTGGCACTTCATTTTGCGCATCTCTTTTACACAAATGGCTCACCTTTATTGTAAGAAACGCTTCGTATCTCGTATCAGGTCCACGAATAATACGTTCCTCGTAAAAGCCAACAAAGTCAAAGGAATCACATGTATATCGCTTATTTCACCGCATTATAAGGCACAACGTATTCCATTCATAATATTGAAAATTCGGATATATTTCTACGTAACGATATTTACCAGATGCATAACATCGTTCTCGGAGACGATGCCTCAAGTCGCTATCTCCCCGTTATCGCGAATAAACGCCCGATTCTGACGCGACGCCAACTCTGCAAAGTTACATCGGCCCCGTGTTTCGAATCGCCGCCGCTTCACCGTCGCTGATCGATCGATACACGTTCGCGCAAATCAATTGAATTTAATTAACGCATCGGGGAGAACCGGAGGGCGCGGTTCCCGTGCGTTTGAAGAACGCGCTGAAGAACGGGAAGCGCCGTGCTCGCGAACGATAAAACGCCGGCGACGAGTCGCGACGAGAAAGAGAGCATTCGCGACTCGCTCCGCTCTCAATGCGACGTTGATAAATAATTATTGGAGTATAGACGCGGGCATTTACAAGCAGGTGCGCATTCAGCGAGGCGGCGACTTCGCGACACCTGGTGCTGATTAACGAAGGAATCGTCGGCGCGGCGCGCGCGCGCGCTGCGACTTAAGCGGCCGGCTAAATTGCCACGTTATTCTTGTAAACCGCGGCATCCTCGACCGTCCAATTACCGGACGAGGTGGCAAGTCGTTTCGTCGTCCGGGGATACACGCGTTCCACGCGCGCGCACGGCGGCTTGAAATCGCCACTTTTTTCCTCGACTGCGAGACGGCACCGTTAAGGACGGATAATGAGACGACCATGCGAGAGCTGCGTAGAGAAAGAGGACCCTCGGAGAGCGTCCCGTCGCGTCGTCGTCGTGCCGCGTAACACCGCGAAGCGGTACCGCGCGGTCGGCGGTAGCGCGACTTGGCTACAAAATACTACCTACGAACCGACGACCCCGTGACCCCGAGCTTCCATTAGATTTATGCAGTCACAATGTTGCACGTCGCCCGCCTCCGCGATACACGTGAACGCGCGTTTGCAAGAGAAAGAGAGGAGAGAGACGGGCATCTCGAGCGCGTCGCAAACGTTTTGTCGTCGTTAATATTACTTATATCGCATCCATCGTGCGATGATAAATCGCGCGGGTAGATTTTCGACGGTGATTACCAGCGGTGTTAATGGGAGTCGCACGGCGACGCGGCCATCCCAGCCGATCCAACCGCGTATTTCTTTCACGCTTCCAATTGTACGTGCATGACAGCTGTTAAAAATGAGCGTATTAATTAAGGGGAAATTCAACAGGAGTGTCGCGCAATATTTATCCGAGCGACGGCACGTTGCGCGCGCCGCCTATTACGCAAAACGCGCGCACACGCTGTCACGGGGAGGCAGAAAAAAGGATACCGCGCGCGTGTCCGAGGAATATGAAATGAGTGACGGTCGGCAAGAAACCGAGCCATTCGATGGCCAACGTCGTGTAACTTGTCGCACGCGCCTTCTTATCTCTCGACGACGCCTGCCTTCAATCCAACGTCGTGTAAGCGACTCTCGTGAAAATGTGTCGATGCTACGGACTACACTTTGTAATTACCAACTGTTGCACGGTATCCCGTGTCTTTTTCTTATTGTTGTTCCTCCACGTCAAAATCGAGCAATCGCTCCATCGATAAAAAAAATCGACTAGCTAATAAGCAAGCTCTGCTCGATCGGTTTTCTTGCTGTTATTGTTTCACCGTAAGTGTGCTTGTAATTAGAGTTACAATCAAACTTGTAATTTAAATTCCTGTGCACAAATTGGTATAATTATTATTACACGTGAAATTATTCCTTTCTGGTATGTCCTTACAGAAATATTCGGCCGCTTTCGGCTGAGTGAGTGTGACTCTGATTTTAGATCGGAAGAGAACACTTCTCTGTAATAACGCATGATAGTGGAGTTATATTATAATGGATTGCACACGAGTATAATCGGATGGTACAAGCGTGCTATTGAATATTTTTCAGTAGTAAACACGTACAGAGAGTGCTAGGTAAATTTGAGGCGTGCAAACGTGCGTTTAGCTACGAGTACAAAATACTCGTTTAACGCTCACAAGCGCTCACATTGCGCATTTTGAGGTGGCACGAGTAAACGCACGATTCTTTAACGTGCTTCTTTTCGTAGTAAAACGGGGAAACGTATTAACGTGCTGCCGTCTCATCGACCGGAAAACGAGTATCGCAGACGGACAATCTCCTAAAAAATATTCATGCATGCTCGTGTGTCATATTCCCCTGCTTAATGGACTGTGCGTGCCTGAGAGTGCGAGAAATAAGCATAAAAATAATAAGACAAGCTAAAAACGGATCGGAACGCGGACCCATATGAGGAGTAAAAGCGGTGAATCATTTTTAGGAGTATATAATGTTATTTTTATAGGAAGCTCCAAAATGATAGAACTTCACGCGCAAAACTGTGCCGATCCGTGTGAGTTCGGGCTCCAGATGTTTGCTCAGCATTTATCACTCGGTATAGAGATCGTCACTTTTCAAACGAGGCGAACGTTAATTTCCTAGCAACACTTGTATGATAAAATAACGTGCCGTTAACAGCGCTCAGTTATCTCCGAGCACGTCATCGGCGCGCATCCCGTTTTCTCCCTTCACAAAATCACATTCGGCACACGGACACGACCGATACCTCCATCGGTTATTAAATCTTCTTGGTGATCTAAAATCGCGCCGGCAAATCGCGCATTGTTTCGGAGAGTGCAAATTCACTCCGGAGTACGAGCCATTTTGCAGCTCGTGGTCGTTCGGAATCGTAGGAGAGCTGCCACGACGAATCGTCCGGATTACATCGTGCAACGCGCGCCAGATGGTGACCGGACGGGTTCGATTCCTTCGAGGCCCTTCGCCATCCTAACCCACCTCTCCGAGTCCTGCTCATGAGACGACGCGCAGACGCGACGTTATCACTTCGGTATCGCATCGTTGAGAAGGGAAACAAGAGCCTAGAGAATGGTGAAGCCGAAGATGTCGGCCCTCGTGGCCTCCGCCATTCGTAATCTGCGGGAGCTCCGTGGCTCCACGTCGAAGGAAATCATGAACTACATTAAGATGCAGTACAACGCGACCGACGCGAATACGCGAAAGCAGGTATCTGATTTGGACTTATCTCACGTAGTTTTGATCGATCCATTAACGAAACGATTTCCATGTTATTCTCTTTCGTTGTACTCTTCTTCCCTCTTTCGATGAATATTAATTATAATTTTAAAAATTCGGAAAGAACTCGGTTCTTTTCATACTTTCCGCGGTTCTCTTCGGTTTTTTATTCGCGAAGAAACCGTGAAAAAACGCTTTCCTTCTCACGAATTCCTTCGGTTTCTTTTCGGAAAATTGAAAAAAGCGGGTTTTCTTCAAGCCTTCATTATCAATGCGCTCAACGATAACTTTCCGACGTTTTTCTAACTCCTTCAAAGGGGGAAAAATGGTGTAGATTCTACGATATTAATCGTTTACAATGGAGAAGGTTTATCCGAGAATTTAACGTTAATAAGCGCAGAGAAAGACGCTGTCAGGAGACGTTTCTTTTCTAGATCTACGCCGCTCTGAAACGCGGCCTGGACTACGGCATCTTGAAGAAAGATCACGGCTACTATAGCCTCAATATGGATCCCGACATGCTGTACAAAGCGCACACCGTGACGCCCTTGGAGCAAGGCAGGAGACGGAGGCGGAGACGAGGACGTGGCCGATCGCGAGGACGAGGGCGAGGTCGTAGAGGTCGCGGTAGGGGCAGGAGCACGGTAGGAAGAGGAAGAGGGAGGGGGAGGAGGAGGAGGAGGAGGAGGAGAAGGAGGAGCGGAAGCAGGAGTAGAAGGGTAAAAAGTCTTCCTGAATCGAGGTCCCTCACGGCCAAGTGCAGGTGCACTTCCAGGAAACCCTCGGCGCACGCCCTAAGGGACACCCCGGTGGAGAACCTTCGTAAGGACACGACTGATTTGTACAAGAGGAGCAGCGAACAGACACCGTTCCGGCTGAGCCGTAGCCGCGATCGAAGCCGATCGCGCAGCCCGTCGACCAGCAGCGACAAGGAAGTAGTCATCGATCGAGAACGCGACCGATCGTGAGCGCGCGCAACAAGACGATCCTCCGCAGTCGTGTGTATCCTTTCTATTTCTTTTTGTCCTCGTAAAACCGAAATTGACATTTCGTACGAACGTTTGGCAAATTTGTTAACTGCTATTGCGACAAACAACAAGTCTTTGCTTATTGTCCGCCTCACTTCGTGAAGTTCAATTCGTCCTGAAATCGTGTGTTTTCAACTTGAATTCCTCTTAAATCGGACTGCAAAGGATCGCAACCGCGCTTGATCCTCGGCGGAATCGACGCGGTGATTACCGACTGATACAACACGGGGATAACTCTCACGAATCTAGACTTCGTTTCTAATTGCCGATAAATTGCAATGGCGGCCCGAGATTTATACTTCACTTTGTAACATGACTTCTACCAAATTTTATATATCCCACATTTACACTCTTTTGTTACATATTTACCAATTATATACAAAACTTTATCATATCGAACGTCCGTGCTTAGTTTCATTTAATCCGATCATTTTAATCCATCATTGCTCTCTCCCACCCTTCCTTCCTCCCCATCTCAAGTCTGACCGATGCTTCCCGAATTCGAAAAATGCCTGTCCGAATATCGCCGGCGAGGAGCGACTTCAACGCCGCATCCCTCGAGATCCTGCCGACTTATTCGCGAATCTCTCGCGGCGCGTGACTTTCAGCCGCGAACGTCCGGGTCGAGGTCCTGACGGAGGCAGTCCGAATAAAACCAACTGCTATAACTCTTACCGCGGCGGGGTTAAGGCGGGTTAGAAAGGATCGAGAAGTGATTAGTGGTATTTACCGGTCCCCGGCGAGAAAACGAGGAAGAAGAGGAAGAGGGAGAGAAACAGAGAAGGAGGGGAGAGATATCTGCCGATTCCCGGTACCGTTTGGACGTCCCACGGGTCCGTCACAATGCCGCGATCTAACTGCTCCCTATTCTCCGACAGGACTCTTCGCGGAGGTCGACGCGATGCTACCGGGGAATCTATCAAGCAATATTAATGCGATTCTAACGGTGACTCTTTCTAACCTAAGATCCTTCCTAGAGCCGGAGAACCGTTCGCTGTTCTCCCTATCTCCGAGAGAACGGATCTCTCTTTGGTGGTCCATCCGGAGCTTCGAGAGTTCGACGTAGAAGGAGAGCGTATCTCGTTAAATCTAAGATCGCTCGCTCGATCTCACGGTCGATTTGTTGCCAACGACACCGGCGGCTTCCGGAGAAATTTGGACGCAGATGGGTAATAACACGGGATATTCCGAGCGAATGAAAAAAATTTTATTTCCGTTATCAATCAACTGGATGTATCTTCTCTTATCTTGTTTTACTTTTACCGTCTTCTTCTGTGCGTAACCTCCTTTCTAAGGTGTATAACGGCTCGTAAGTCTACGTGATACGAGCAGTTGAAAATTCCTTCACGACTACGGCGATGTTAACACTTTGCTACCGCAATGTCGCGCTGTGGTAAACGGGTAACTAGTTTGTAAAAATCGTCTCTGCATATATTCGGTGTAATAATTCATCGTAAAATAGTCATTGTACTTTATCGAAGACTAATACGCTCGGGAAGCTACAAAAGATTGATAAACCGTCTAAATACTGCAATTTAAACTCTAAGAGTAAACTCGATTATTTAACAGAAAGAACGCTATTATTTGAAATAATATCTTCTAACGAAATAAAATATTATTTGGTTACAATAAATATGTAAAATGAATATGTAAAATGAAACAAATAATTTCTTTAGAAGGAAATCATCTTTCGTTTCAAACCAATTTTTGACTTAAGATAAACATACATATTCGTTGAAGAGTCTAACAATCGTACTTACTAATCGAAACACTGGTTTCTTCGGAGCGTGCCTGATAAAATATGTTTGGATGTGATGAAATTTATTGAATTTGAAGGAACCTTTTTCTCAGCGTTCCGAAGAATATCTCCCATTTATCGGGCCCAGCGTTTCGAAATGTATAAAAAAAACAAGTGTGTAGCAACCTTTTCGTGACTAACTCTACAAGAAGAGACAAAATCTATTCGCGCTCGGTCCCAAGAATGACCATTGTCCCGAACGGTATGTCACGCCGCCCGTCGCCACATAAATGAGCCGCACAAATGACGCGAGGGACAAACAGCCCAGACTGAAAATCCCGGTGATACCATCTACTCTCTCGCTCCGCGCGCGATTGCTCGTGCGTTTCGCTGCGAGTGGTGCGGCGCGAAACGTCGGACGTCGAGGTGTCAGTGGGTTCTCACGTGCGCCAACCGGCCGAGATAGCGTCACCCCGGCACTACGCGCGATATCATTAAGGTGGATTTATTTTGCCATGCGGCAGTGCCGTCTGCGAGGTTAGATTAGGAGGTAGGCCAGAGAGGCTACGCCCGCGGTTACCCCCGACTTGACTCTCGCGCCGTAACTTACGTGCGAACGTATGCGTGCGAACGAGCGCAATGTCGTGCCCAAGCAGTTAACGCTCGATTAGCGGAAAAATGAGAAAGAGGTAGATAGGACTCGGATACTGATTTTATCCACCAGGAATCGGAAGTAATTTAACGTTTTTCAAACGTTGCGCTGCCTGCTCCCCACGGGTCTTAGTTAAATCAAATTAGGTTACTCCTAAATTCGAAGAGCCGGACAGAGAATGACAGCTCTCTTCCGTCATCACAAATTTATCTATGCTTCTTTTCTTCGTTGTCTTTCTCTTATTCTCTCTCTCTCTCTCTCTCTCTTTCCCTTTTCTTTTTAAGTAAATAACTAACTTTGACCTTGACAAGCTTAATGAACGACACGACAGCGATTTTTCACATTTACGAAGGTGAAAAAGAAGAAGGTAAAGTGAAGAAAGTGAAGAGAAAAGAGATTAAATATCCGAGATTGTTATTCTGGTCCGTGTGAACGTGCCTAATTCGCCTCGCACTCTGAGAATTTAAATGGCCGCCACTTTAAAGAAGTTTTAATTCGTACGATATCCGCAACGTTGATAAGCAATCGTAAACTACCGGTCATTCGGATTAGGCTATGCGGACGATACGGAAAACAACAGATGGTGATCGCAACGTCCGGATGCTCTCAAAGTGTTATTAACCATCGATCGCAACGCAGCTCCCGCGCTTAACTAGACAAGTATACCGGCATCATTCACTGGCACTCTCGATCGACCACCATCTTGCGTGATACGCGTGACGGTACTTCCTGCGTGCGATGAACGCGCACACATACGCCCTACCGATTTCAGCCTCGACAGCCATTCTATTTTCGTAACACTCTCTAAATTTCTTCGAGTGAAATCTCTCACTCAAAGTGGATAAAAATTCACACGAGGTGACGGTAAAAATATTGCGGAAACACTCGGAAGAGTGAATGCGTCACTCAAATTTAAAATGAATTTTTAATCAGACTTTTCTCTTAGCGCGCGTCATTCTACTTTCCGCGTGGAATTTCACCCGAAGAAATTTCGAGGGCACGTACGCGAGGAGAAACTTCTCGAAGTCGCTTCAAAAGCAACTCCCCGACGTCGGAATGATTCGACTTGTCGCGGGACGTGGGAAAAGATATACTTCACTCCGCTAATTAAATCCCACGAATGAACTCGCTCTCGTTCTGGATGGTTTGAATATTCCCACTGGAGGATAACTTCTCGAAGAAGGGCCGAAAGTAATAGGTCTATTATAGGAGCCGTAATAAGGGCGGCGCGATCGACGATGAGAATTACGGCGAGGAGATTTAGCCGCGTGTACAGCCGGGCTTCTTTTCGCCGACATTTCGCCTCGCTCGACCGGCGTTCATTACCGCGGCCGCTACGGGGCCGCTTAACTGTTTTGTCCCGGCTGATGGATAGCGCGTTCGCACGTTATTACCGGACACTCGGCCAGTTTTATGAGTCTAGATTGGTACACGGTACCCCCGCGCTAATAGTGTGTTTACCGATAATGGTGCCCGCTGGTACTAGCACGCGCGCGCGAGAGAGAGAAAATATCGGGCGCGCGAGTCTCCGACGGCGTGATTTACGAGCGGTTTTTACAATTCCGCGGCCGGAAGTCGTAGGAGCGAACGAACCGGATGAAAATCGCAGGCGAGCAGCTGACTACGCGGGAATGGAACGCGCGCCTCTCGCGTCCCAGTTTGACCGCGCGTCGGCCCGAGAACGGGGTTATATCTCGCCTCGCTTTTACATCGTAATTATCCATTGTGAAATCCGCGCCTCGTCCATCACGCGCGCGCGCTCCGTCGCGCCCGAGAACATTTTCGAGGCGTAGCTGCGCCGCGAGTGTGTCGCCGAGATGATTGATATTTCGATCGGAAACACACTGAACCGTCGCTGGCTGACGGCTAAGAAACCGCGGTGGTATCACTTTCCCACGGACTCGTTTGCGTAATGCCGAGGTATTCCCTTTTTCCTTCGATCGCACCTTCCAGGAAGGTGCAATTTGAGCCACGCGTCGGATTTCTTTCTCGCGGAAATTGCGCCCGCGAATACGCAACGACGCGTTGGACAGCGTGAAAACTCACCCGAGTGGAAATGTATCTGGTCGGCCCCGAATCAGAAGCTAATACCGGGCTAGATCGAATTTTCTAGCTCGTTACTGGCTGACTAGCCGCTAAAATGCCCGGTCGGCTTTGTGATCCAGCCGTTGTCTGGTCATTATATGATATCAAATATGATATGAGAGTAGATGGCGCCATCTATTCTAAGATCCAATTACTATATATAATCCGCTATGTGCTAGCATTTGAAAATGAGAGAGCAATGCTATAAACGTTGCTATGAACGATGAGATCTTATTTATCGTAGAAAAAATATCGCTCGTCTTGTCGCAGCGTGACCCGCACAAACGGTACCGGTGTAATTATTTATCTAGAATCTTCTAATTAACTCCGCTTTAATAAACCTCGAGATAAGATCGCGAAGCGCGCGAGGCAGAACAGCTCGCTTCGCGGAACATGACGAGCGATGAGAACGGATTCGCGGTGGAAACTTCGCAAAACGACGCGACACCTGCGACGTAAGCTTAATAGATAGGCGGACGCAGTTTTTGCGCTTTCGACAATAAGCGCAGACGTCGCACCGGTCCTGTCGCCGGCGCATTTGCATCGCTAATTAGCGAGGCCTTGCTCGACGTAGACGTCGGCATCGACGTCGGTAGAATTGCGACCGTTCTCCCTTTCTCTCTGTGTTCTTCATCGAAATCGCATCGCAAATTTTAATTAGCATGTATCGGCGTTCAATCCCACCGCGATAATCTATACGCATTATGAGCATCCCTACCCGTTGCGGCAGAGTTTTGATATCTGCCGGGACACTTTATCGGAATTTCGACCGCGTCTGAATAAAGATGAGGCCGCGCCGTCGACTCGAAATTTCGCCGGCGCTATTTTT